GACCCACCAGAATCTCTGAGACTTCCCGGACCCCTCCGAATGCCTTGGACCCATCAGACCTCCAGGACCCTTCAGAGCTCTGAGACCTGCCAGAATCCCCTGGGGCGCCTCAGACTCCCGAGATCCCTCAGAGCCCTCAAAACCGTGGGACTCCCTCAAAACCTCTCAGACCTCCTGGATCCTCCCGAGGTGCCTTGGACTCCTCAGACCTCTGATTTCCAGAACTCCTCAGAGCCCTCAGACTTGCCTGAATCCCCCAGAGCATCTTAGACTCCCAGGGCCCCTCAGAGCTCTCAGACCCTCATGACCCTTCTGGGACCCCTCAGACTTCCAGGGGCCCTGAGGTAACTTGGGCTCCTCAGACCTTCTGGGACCCTCCAGGACTCCTCAGACCCTCTGAACCCTGCTGTGGACCTGCTGGACTATTCAGCTGCCTGAAACAACAGAGATGTGCCTTCRGACCAGTCAGCGATTCCTCTCAGGTCGACCCGAGGCTGCAAACCTCAGCGAGACAGGCCAGGAATACACCAATCAGGTCAGACAACACGGAGAGCTGCCATTTCCAGTAGGAATTGCAATTGCACTGTGCAAGAGTAATTTCTGCTTAACTGAGATCATGATTACGAAGTACTAAAAAAGTCTTAGTAGTGAGCAAGACTCACCCAAAGGTTTGCATTGCCTCACAAAAAGTTGTAGGTTGTTTACCTGCTGCTTTTAATGTGTTTTTTGCCAATTATAAAAAGAAAGGRGTGAGGGAAAAGCAGTCATTTTCTAGGTATGGTAAGACGGTGGTTTCAAAGTTGCAGACAAGTGTGCCACAGGGTAATCCTGGTTCCTCTGGCTCTCTGCCAGTCCTGTGCCAGGCAGGCCTTTGCAAAGGTCTTCGGTCTTATTAAACCAAATGGTGTGAGGAGTGTGTGGGGTTTTCCCATGGCAGAGATGTGTAATGTGAAGTAAAAAAATGGGGATGATGGGAGTTTAAAAGGCACATTGGCAGTCAAGGCCAAGTGTTCTACAGAACCAACTGTGCTATGTCACCCTCAGATTTGTGTTACGCCATTCAGTTCCCCAAATGAAGTTGGATTTGGTCAGCAACAGTTCTTGAATATTTGTATCAATCAATCATTCACTGAGATTTCTTCATGCCAGTGTCCTGGGAGTGCTGTTGCTCCTGCCCCTGCAGACTTGCTGATAGCTCCTCCTCCCTCCTGCTCAGCTGATCTGTGCAGTGGATATCATTTTCCCCTCATGTAGCTCCAGGACCTTGCAGTTTCCTGGRGGAATCCTGTTCACAATAATAGTTGAGCAGGTTTAGCTTTAAGATACCTGCTTGTGTTTTAACTTCCTGGGATGTATTTGGAGCCTGACCTGGAATGGTTCATTCCTGTTTTACTTAGTTTCTATTTTCTGTTCCATACTGCTTTTCTGGTTCAGGATTTTCCCTTCACCCAAGTTTGCTACTAATGAAGTTAATGAGACTAAGGAGAAAATGCGTTCTGCAGGGAGATCCTCAGCTATAGCTGTTGTGTCAGGAGGAGAGAGCTCCGGATGTCAGTGAGCTGGGGGAAGACTTGTGCGCAGTCCTGCCAGCTCCCACTGACAAAMACAAGGATTTCTTGTTTGCTCTAGTGTCAAACCGCTTTCATCATGCCAAATGGTGATCAGAAAGTTGCTACCAAGTTTAAAACCCTAATTAATCTTAATTGTCCATTGACTCATTATCTTACTGAGAGTATTATACCTGGGAAAAGCACTTTGGTTCTAAGCCCAGTGMAATTTAAATGAACTCCCAAGTGCTTTAAGGGGTTCAGTCAGAAGAAATAGGCACTGACAGCACGGGTTTTTTTTTCCTAAAGAAGCTTTAATTGGCTGTTAAGTTGGAGCTTTGAAGCTTTGATAGAAGGAGTGTTATAGGTTAAATTAATAGGGAAAATTGAGAAACAATTAGAGCAGCTTTAAATTAATTACTTACCCTATTTACTTTGAGCTTATTGAACAATTGTGTTGTATGTGTAAGGGATTGAAATTAGCCATCTGTGCAAGGTAGCTTTGACCTAAATTGACCTTCTTGGGTAAGTAAGTAGCTTGCCCTAATTCCTACACTGGATCCCGAATTTTAYTGGCACATAGGATTAGTTGGGAGGAAAGATGAATGCGCTTGAGATGTTCCATACTTTTCTGTTGGCACTGGAATGAGCTATGCAGATAGGGGTAGGGAAAGCTTTCAGAGAGGGGGCTGAGGGGGTCACACGGGAGCCGCACTGTCTCTGTTGGCCCTCCCTGCCTGCTGAGGAGCACATTCGGAACGSGTTGTTCAGGGGGCAGCTGCCCAGGGGGTTTGCCCAGGGTGGAGGCATGGCCGGCAGTGCCGGCTCTGCGGCTCCGGGAGCGTGACCGGCCACTCCGAGACAGAGCGAGAGCCGACGCTTCGGCGGGAAGCTTCCAGGCTCTGGGCKCTCAAATGTTGATGGCAGAATGCGAGCAAACACCAAAGGTGTTCAGTTTAAAACCTGAAAGGATGGAAATATTCTGGGTGCTGATTTTTGAGGCACTGCAACTGTTTTTCCCGGCCCTGCCCTCCCTGTTTGTAGGCGGCCCGTCCCGGCCGTGCTGCGGAGCCGGAGGAAGCGGGTGACAGGAGAACCCAAGGCCGGCTGCGGTCGGGGCGTGCTCCCTGCTCATGCCCTGCTCTGCCGCTAGATGTCAGCCTGACTCCACGCTACAGCCCGGCCGCCTCTCTGGGCCTGCCTCCCGACAGCCGCCTCCTCATCTTCATTCCATGGAACTCGGGGCTCACCCCGCGCACACCCCTGGCAGCGCGCATCGGGGCGGGGCTGGTGTTCCACATGTTGCTGTGGCTCCCAGTTTSATCCTCTTCTGAAGAGCCCAGCAAAATCCCTCCTCCTGAGTTTTGTTCGGGGTGTTCTTGGACTCCTTTTCTCTCTGTTGGGTGAATTCAGCTTGCTCTGAGTTTTCCAGAAAAGACAGAATAATGCCCAGGAATGAAATCTTTGATTAGGCTACCTCCTGAAAATGCGTCTGCTAATGTTGGTGGAAGGCATCACGTGTCTTCCTTTGCATTGTGCCTACAGTAGTGTTGGCGAATAGCTCAGGTTTTTTTTTTGCCTGTGGTAAACACAACTGTGTTTCCCTTGGGCACAGGGAGCAGGAGGGRTATTTTGGAATGCTGTGTGCAGCAATTTGGTAAAATCTGTGGATGAACTACAGCACTGTTTTATGGCCACAGAGACGATGTAGCTGTTTGTGTGCATGGGGTATCAGTGTGCACCAGGCCATGAGTGACATCAGCAGGGGAGATRCTAAAGGCCCTTGCCATGTACAACACAGGGATCTTGTCTCCAGTTCCTGGAAGCACCCACAGCAGCTATGTAATGGATTCCTGCATACTGATACACAGCGGAGTCACATATAAAAAGCTAAGATTTGTAGCTTTGTGCGAGTCAAAGAGGCTTTGAAAGAGAAAGAGARTGTGTGTGCAAGAATAGAAATCCCAGGACACTCCTGATCCACCAACTCCCTTCATGTGAGAACACTGGGAATGCAAGTGTCTTGTATTTGATAACAACTTTAATACCAAGGAGGCTTGATTTCAAGGCCTTCTTCCCTGAAGGTCTTCTCTCCTTGCACTGTCCCCACTGGGAATTTTGTGGCCAAGTACTGCATGGTTTCCTGCAGCTCTTCAGTTTAGCMCTGAGCAGCTTCCAGGAGTGCCCAAGACAGACCTGCTGACATCTGCACGGGGGCTCAGTTCTCTTTCCTCTCCCCATGGAGAGMTGCCATATGACATGTGCACTGACGT